GGTCCACAAAGCGAAAATAAGCTACAAAGCATATCAATATGGAGGAATCATGACGTAAATTATCCAGGGCTTCCTCAATATAAATTACAGATTAATCGAGGAGGAAAATAAGTCAATTAATTTTCTCATATTACACTACTATTACAGAAATTTTAAGTTAGCAGAGCAACTGAAATATTTTGCGAAGTCAACAATTACTTTAAAATACCATTTTAAGTGAAATATTCTTCTCTTTTTTAATAACATACTTGACTAGCCAAGAAAAAGTGCAGAAAGTGTCATGAAATATCTTCACTTTCATTACAGATTCAAGAATTACATAGGTCCTTACTTATAAATTCCTCGTGACATATTCTCAATGTATTTAGCTTTGTCTTCTACTCCACAGTGGTAATGGTATGTTTTTATGCAGGCTTTAATTTCACACCCAATAGTAGCACCAGGCTGGCTGCAAAGTGTGCATTTCTGTGCAGGGGAAAGAAGAGAATGGCACTGTTCAGCCTTTCAGTCTCTTGCCTCTTAGCATTCAGTTTAGTGTTCCTCATATTTATGGCTACCATTTTGGAACAGAGTAATTTCTCTGGCAGATCATCTTTCCAATGAAAAGTTAATCAAAGATATTGTAAAACAGAAACTATGTAATACTAACAAATTGAAAATTGCTACATGATTGCACTTATTATTGCATTTCCAAGAGCATTTTATTGCCACTGAAGTTAGTATGTTCATACATGAAGAACCTTAAATGATTTTTTTCAAGGAGCAATATTGTTAGTTGTTTGTTTTCTCCCCCCCGCCCCCCCCCCCGATGTCTTACCACTTTAAAAACATCCTGAATTTTAATAAAATACAATGTGACATTTTACCAACATCCCCATCTCTGAGGCCTTAATGCGTTTTCATATTAAAACATCAAAACAGTTGGAAACACGTCACTGCAAGAACATATTCTCTAAGTTTATTTGTAGTTTTACACAGTGTGCTTTTAGTAACACAGGATCCAAAGCTGTTACTCTCTTATAGTTACAGGAAAGCTACTAATAATTTACTACGTACATTGTCATAAAGAACCCTAAATACCACATGCCCGAACATCACTAATTTTTAAGGTGATTCCTATCTGGCTACCTGTCCCAAAAGTAACAATACCTTTAAATTTTGTGTTTTGAAACAGATGGAAAAGATTGTTTCACAAAAGGAAGGAGGCAGAGCTATATACACCTTAGTAGAATCAGTAACACGTTCATCACATTCTGCAGATACATACCATTCTTTTTCCTCTCTTGATTTCTTGAAGTACAGTTTTGATATCAAAATCGCCAAACTCTGCCCTTGAAGTTGTTGTTAGCTGGACAGTGCCAGAAGAGAACAACTATAAAACAAGCAAGTCAAAATAATTTCAGGTCACCAACATGATTAGAAATTTTTTTATGTGCAGGAATAACCGAGCATTGAACATCCCTTTCTGTGTTCTCAGACAGCATGTGCTTTACCAACAAACTGTGAAAAAACCCCCATGCTGATTGCGTAATTAGTATGAGTATTCCTTCTGATACCCACCTGACTGCTTCAATTACATTTGTTGCCTTGGAGAAACGTATTTTATAAGACAAAGGAGTAGACAAGAAATGATGACATAATGAAAACACAAAGTAATAAATGGGCAATATTATCAATTACACCACTGAACTTTTTAGGAATATTCCATTTCCTTCCCTGTGACATATATATAATTCAGCTTCATGGCACAACTGATGTCAACATACCTGAAAAGCCCTGAGGGATGACAGTGGAGCACATAAGTACCATCCCTACTATCATCATGTTCAGTTTAAACTGTCTTAAAACTAAAGCTCAGGTACCCAAATTAGTGAACAATGGCACAACTGATGTCAACATACCTGAAAAGCCCAGAGGGATGACAATGGAGCACATAAGTACCATCCCTACTATCATCATCCCGGTATGTTCAGTTTAAACTGTCTTAAAACTGAAGCTCAGGTACCCAAAGTAGTGAACAGTACTCTAAGACCCAAGGCTGCTGGCACACACCAGCTCTCTGTTTAGTGAGGCTAGGTATAGGAAGACACTTAATACTCCACAGATTGCCTGGACTACTTATTCATCTTGAGGTACAACAGGAACCACTGAGGTTTGTTACTCAAAGCCCTACCTCATTCATAGAACGAGTTATACAAAAGATAGCACTATCTGCTCATGTTCATTGAAATTAGCAGATTCTTTTCAGGCTGACAGTTCTATAAATGTGATCATCTAAAGACAACGATGATCACTTCCATGTCCCACTCTACTTGAGTCACACAGCCTGAATCCACTAGTCAGAAAATTAATAAAGGTCATGGATTCTTCCCGGATTTTGTCTGAATGCCTGTGGAGTAAGGTATTTTATTTTGGGGGTGGATTCTTTTAGTTAAAACTGTTTTCTGTTTTCCTTTTTAAATACTGTGTATGCATTTAGATGCTAAGGGAGCATTTTTAATAAGCTAAAGAGTCTCCCTGAGCTAATTCCATCTCTTAGCATGTAGCCAACTTTTATCCATATTGCCCGCAGTGAAAATAAATGAATTGCTCACTTCGCAACACTTCAGTACTTAAAGAGATCATCAGCACACAGACAATACTCATGCATAATTACATGTAAGGGTACGGTATTAAAATCTAAAATAGCAATTCAGGCAAAATTCACCTAACAGACTGGTTAACACCAATACTGTTACTCACCATGCACTTATAGTGTGCTGCAGCCTTTTTGGCATTAAATATATGAAGCTTTCCTCTAGCTTCATTTTCTTCTTCACCTGCATGACAGAATCCACATTTAGGTTTTGTATCACTGGGGCTGCTTCTGTGGGGAGACCTGTCTCTCTGAAAGAAAAACATTTTACTAAAATATACTGCTGGGTTACAAATAAGGTTGTAATTTTAAAAGCCTGTGGCCACCAGCTGGAGGCTCAGACAAATGCAAATTTTAATACAAATTATATTTGCAGAGAAGAAATATGCAATTCTGTCTTCTTAAGAAGTTTAGCATATTTACTGCTTACATAGGAACTGCTTTCTATTTCATCTGTGCCATGTGAGGACGTAGATCTAGTGTCTTCTGATTGCCCTTTTAAATTTGTTTTTCTTGGCTTTCCCTTACGACCCCTCCTTTTTCCTTTGGGAGGTGAAGGCTCCAACTCGTGTTCATTGATACTTTCTTCTAAATCTGCTTTAGAAGTTAGAAAACATCATCAAATAACATTCTCAAAAATTTTATGCAAAACAAACCAAGCAAAGAAAAAAAAAACCCAAAAAACAGACAAGAAAAAACATAACCTGTATTTTCTGTATTTTGGTCAGAAATAAAAATAGCAACTTTTTCCCATTTATTACAAACATGCAACTGCAGATCCTGAAAACATTATTTACTTCTTTACACATATCACAGAGTTTTGCATCTTTATAACATAATACATGAAGAAGGTTTAGCATTTCTCACAACTTCTACTTTCAGACCCAAAATGTGTCCTCAGATACATATATTCACCTCCACTGAAAAGACGACTCATTTAAACTACACTGAAACCAGAAAATGTTTTCAACCATGAAATAAGCTTTTAAATTTTTTTTTCAAGATGCATAACTCCAGTGTAAATTGCCCTTGATATTATGCCAGTGTTTCTAAATAACACCTCTCTCCTTGCTTTATTAATCGATGCCTTAAGAAAAAAATTCACCCATTTTGGCTATAACATTAACATCAAGTTTTAAAACTGACCTGTATTTTCCCTCCATGAAACAGATCTAAGGTTTCATTTTAGTTACAGCATATTTTTACATTTACAGCTAAAAGCAGCCACCAGTTTACAGAAAATCATCCACACTGACAATATCCCAGATAAAGTATTTACAGATCATTAAGAATATAAGAACGTGTATTTTTAATACAGACATAGCAAAGAGGTCTGACAAGTTCCTTTGAAAATGTCAGCTCAACTGCTGAATGCTACATAGAACTGTAGTCCAGTATTCTAGCAGACTGTCCTTTTGATTACTCAAAGTTCTACAGTTAACACAGATCAATTCTGCAAACTTAAGATTGCTTCCAATATGATCTAGTTAAGTTATATCTGGCATTGAATAACCAGCTCTATTCAGTCGCTAACAACTTTCCTGATCATCAGCTGCTCACAGGAGCATCTTTCTTTTTTCTTTTAATATGTAACACCCACCCCTGCTCAAACTGCAAAGATATTTCAGCAGACTTGTTTAAAGAAACACGCACAAACACCGCTGAAGAACTTGCTTCTCAAAATCCAAACCACAAACATCCGCACGAGCCCCCAAACGGAAGGGAATCCTAATCAGAAGATTTGGAACATCTACTTTATACATTAATGAGCCGCTTAACTGTTGTGGTATTATTATTATTATTATTTAAGCATTGCTATGGCGCTTATCGCCATTATATCGTGGTCTCAGTATCCAGACAGGACATCTTATTTTGAGACTAAATGCTGCTTCACCAGAACTCGTCTTTCTTATCTATTATCACTTAAAAGTCAGATCGCATTTCTATCCCACGATTAACAGCAACTCAACTGCACAAAAGTTTGAAGTCAAAGACTTGAACATATTCCACAGCCATCAACTTGGAGTAGAAGATAACTGAACTACTGGCCCAAGGCCTTGCATGCAAGTGTATCCTATTAAGCTTAGTCTATTGTGTCTGTCGCTAATCCCTGAGAAAGCTACAGCTTCTTGCACATTTATTAATGAAGGACAGAAAACTAATCCAAATGCATCACAACAGGTTATACTGAAACATAATTCCCCCAAAGCTTTACTTTGTAGTATGGTTAGAAAGAGGCAAAAAATTGAGAATGTACTAATACAAATCTGCGAATTATTTTGGCTTACATTGACAGATTATTCAGCTATATACAGATATTCCCAAGTTGCTACTAAAATACATCAGTCTATCTACCACAACATTCCTATGCTTTACTATATATACCATTCTTTTCTAATTAGATGACAAAAGCACCATTTATTTTACTCTGAAAAAAAAAATAAAATACACGATGACATGGATTATCTAATGAAACAATACATTTTACATTTTATTCTCAGAATTTACTATCTAACATTATTTTTCATTTACCATTACTTGCTAAATTCCCCAAGCAAGATTATGCAATTTAGATATCATACCTCTCAGACTGCATATAGCAAGTTTTATTACAACCTGAAAACCTCTTTCAAAGAAAAGAGTTCTTTTATCTTGTCCCTCATCATATGAACTCTTCACCAACGCATTAAAAGGAATTTGTGAATCTTTGTCTCTACTTTTACATTTACAGAAATCATAGATGGTTATTCTAGGAAAAAAAAAGTCTTACAAAAATGTGACTGTTGAATTCGTGACCCTTTAAATAACATCAGTAAGAACTTAAAAATATTCCTTCCAAAATCATTCCACGGATTTCCCTACTGTGTTTGATGAAGCAAAATGTAGATGAAGCAAAATGTAGTCCATTCACCAGCATTCCTTATCTTTTCCAAAGCTCCTTATCAATTCTGTCAACCATAATGTTTTCCACCTCTTAGTCCACCCGTATTTTTTAAATAACATTAGAGCATATCCTGAACTCTCTACAGTCACACTTTCAAAACTGGAAGTGAATCATAATTGCTAAATACCAAGCACACGTTGTGAAAACCAACTTCTTATAAGAAATGTCACAGCCTCCTTATAGAATAAGTTCTTAAGTGCTATTTTTTAGTCTACAATTATTAGAGTATTTAAGATTTGAAAAGTAAAAATGCTGTATTTTTAAAAGATGGTTTCAGGTGAAGATAAAAAAAAACCACTGAGATTGCACAGCTTTCCTCAAGGGAGAACCCCTTTTCTGTGCTCAAAACTAGTACTTCCAAAAAAGTTCAGAGTTCATTGAAATCCAGATGCTACATGACCCCTTCATCAAAATAAAATTCCTTGCAGATTTAGGTTTCCTACTACAAGTGACATGGACCTACAGATTAACGCCCCCGAGATGCGAGGCTCTGCTCTACCACATCTATCTGCAGGACTGATACCTCAAAACATTAAAGTTTCTCTCATTTTTAACAGCACTATGAACTAGCGTAACAGTACAGGAAGAAAGAGATTGTAACCAGCTTTAAAATACACCTGCCTTGGATGGTCTTTACTGTTTAATATACAATTTGGTTTGTGCCCTATCCCTCCCCTCAAGCCCACTGCCAGCTTACCCTGTTTCCCTGGCATCTGATGGTTGGGTGTTTCCAACTTCTCATGTCAGCTTGAACTAAGGAAAACACAAAAAGTTGTTCAACTCCTCCCTGACCAGATGACGTTTTATCATGGATATCACCCATACTCTGAATCCCCTGAGATTCCCTAGATATTCTTCAGCTGCCCCCCATCCCATATCCCATTACTGCATTGATTTTTAAAATCATCACAATATTCTCAACATAACTTTATCTAAAGTCTTCAAAGGAGGTATCTTATGAGCTTTCTTCAGAAGTCCCTAAATGCTATATCTGAAAAAACAAGCTTAATACGCAATACCATCTGAGAAGGAGGGGTGGGGGTAGAAATCAAGAGGAAACATTCTACATTTTTAAAAGCACCTAAGAACACGATATTGTAAATTCAGATGAGCGAAAAGATGAGTAGCAACAAGCCCCAAATTTGCATGTTAGAAATCCATGAGCAGTACGAAGTACCACAAAAAGAAGACTAGCAAAATGCTGTATTACATAAACTCTTAACAGGGAGACTCAGCTTCAGAGAGAAATCTAAAAATTCTCCTTTGATCATGACTAGAAGGAAAAAGGATCAAGATGTTTTGCTGTTTAAAATAAGGCTTGGCAGAGAAGAGGTTGCGATATCACTGATCTATTCTATATTGCATCAGCTTGAAATATACATGGAATCACCCTTTTCCAAAAGCTAGGTTAAAGCAAAGTAATAAAAGAATTAAGTGATGTAAAGGTTGTGAAAGAACAAATAAAAAGAGGATGTGTACAATAAAGGCTAATACTGCTCTCTGTATCCACCTCCTACATTAACTTAAACAATAGACTAAGTGAGCCAGAAGCAAAGGGGGCTAAGTCTGTATGACGAAGATAATAAACAAAACTGACTGGCAAAATATATTTGGAAGTAGGACTGTACATAAAAAGAAGCCAAAATGTAGAATGTGGAAGTGGTTTAGACATGCTGTTATGTAAATCTGAATCACACATATGTATTTAAAGCTTTACAGTGCATTTGGGATAAAAGAGAAACTCTAAAAATTACAAAGAACAAAATCAACCTGACTAGATTTTTAGAAGAGAAACGGAATATCACAGAGAAAGAAAAAAGTACTTTAGCATGTTAAAGTAAGATGTCCTTAAAATATGGCTGAGACCCAATGAACTGTATGTTGCAACATAATTATTTTAAATTGAAAAGAAATGTCAAAAAAACCTGGAAAACCTTGTTGTCCCAGTAGTCAATAATAAAAATGTGAATGCATCTATAAGCGTTAATAAGAACCAAAGATTTGCATTAAAACCCTTGCAAGCAGATACAGAATCAGGTAAACGGATTGTGAAATAATAGAGGCTTTTATCAGCAAATGATGTGAAATAAACAATCAAAATGCTGAATATAATTTTTAGGTTTTGGCTGTTTGTTTTCTTTAAATGGAAAAAGACTAAGTTACATGAAACATATCTAAACTGGAGAAAGTAAGAGTGAAGAGGAAAAAAAATTAAATTACCCCTTAGGTCCTGTCACTGATACGTTTTCCAAAAGTACCAGATACCTCAAGGAACTGATGACTCTTGTCCAAAAGCTATTTTTGACTGAATAGTATCTATGTTATGAAGTACTTGAGATTATTTCTTTAATTAAGTATATTTAACATAGAAAATGAATATAATAGTCCTTCATAACCATACAATCTAATGCTTTTTCAAGCAAACAATCGTTGGCAAAGACTGAAGACAGACACTTAGCTTATCTGCATAATCGGAAAGCTTATGACAACTGGTATGATAAAACCTGTTAAGTATGAGTTAGCCGACCAAGTTTCTATTTGTATAACGTCTTGCCTAGATAGGAAGGAGAATTGTAATGTAAACACCACAAGACAGCTCCTCAGGTAGGACAAACCATTCACCACATTACTTTTCCGTTTTGTCCTTTTCCGTTAGCTGTGCGTTTTTCCGTAAGAAAACACCATTGTGATGCTTCTGCAAAATACCTCATTAGTCTATAATGGACCGCATAGGAGATTGCTAACTTACTGCCTGGACCAACTGTTTTTGTTGTAACACTATGTATACATTTGATGCCACATTCAGAGCAGCATTCTCCATAAGACAAGACAACAAGAAGGCTGAGTTAGCAGAGTAGGAAGAATTTGTTACTGTCCACCAGCAGAACTGAAATGACACCGAACTGCAATGTTACAGAAACTTTTATACCTGACTGCGTTAACGCATACAATGTTAGGCAATCTTATGCTGTGAACAGTGTTACAGAAAATGCAACTATGAACAAACGCTGATTAAAGGAACCAAAGATGAATCAGGATGTTACCTAACTATTATGCCAAAAAGTTTTCGATGTTTTCCCTGCCAGCCTCTGGCTTACACAGTGCTTTGAAAAAGTACTCGGTTTGATATAGATTGCAGCATCTCTAAATAGGTCTCTCAGAGAAATATTACCCTGACTCAACTTACTGAGCGGTATGAGAAGCATAGACTTCATGTTTGATCTTTAGAATAACATGAAAAGGGTGCTGAGACAGGGAATGTCCTTATTTCCATTGTGGAAACATAATTCCCTGAGGCTTTGAGTACAGCTACAATAGGAATTATGGACACTTTATTTTCTGACCCCACAGTTCCCAAGCATCTGTGTTAAACATTAACAATAGATAGTCACATGGCTGTCTTCATTATTCTTTGTTTTACTATGTAACAGAAGAATGAAATTACATTCTTATCTTAGTTTATATTAAACTTTTCCTGATCAGCTGAATTTGTTTTAAATTCAACACAGGAGCCAGGGCAGCCCCACCTCCAGGGAACTGAAAGATACCAGATTTTAAATTTTTCAACAATTATTTCCAGTACATTGGAATAAATTCCAACAAACAGTTCCAAAACCTTAGTTCAACAATCCTCTATTCTTCAAAAAGAATAAATGCAATTATATCAAACTGAACAGTAATTCAACTAATAGTTAGCTGTGATAGTTTGAAAGCACTGGCACCAATTCCTGTAACCTATTAGGTGCTGAAAACATAGATGGCTTGCCTAAATTATTAATTAAACTATTACTTGAAGTTCAGGTTAAATTATTTTGTCAGATTTGTAACCAGCAAGACAAAAATCTAGACACGAAGCTTTCAGTAACTTTGTCTGCTCCTCTGAGCAGGTGTCTTCAAATCTGTTGACCTCATGGCCACAGCCTAGTAAAAAGTGTGAGAGTACCTCACTTTTACTGTCCTTTTTCCAGTTAGTGGGAACACAGCACAGAAGAATCACCTGAAATATTTATACACAAAGGAAATATAGGAGAGATACAATTTTCCTATTCTATGTCACCTGAAGGCGAGGCCATGCAGATAAATTAGACAAACCCAACAATCTGCTGAAACAGATAATGAGTTTAAGAGCACGATACTTTGCTGCTATGTTTCATATTTTTATATTCAAAGAAAACAGAAGGTAGTTCAGCAACTCCTGTCAATTAAAGGAAAATTAACTCCCATCGCTCATTAGTTTTATCTTAGTGAGCAGAGAGACACTTAGTCTGATGAATTCTCACGCCACCTGAACTCCATGACACCAACAAATAACATCTAAGAGGTCCTTTTTATTAGGTTTTAACTGGGTAACTTTAATTCTAACATAGGTCCTTCAACCACATTTCCATACAGCCTCAAGAAATTTTCTTAATTGTTATTAAATGGCTAACAGATATTCTTTTTAAACTAGAACTTCTAACAAAATGTACATTAGCCAGATCTCAGACTTGAACAAGTATACCCCCAAAAGCATCTATTTTCTAGGGAAGGGAAGGAAAAAAAAATCTCACTATTATGCAGCAGTACTGTCTACAGAAAATAAACTGTTCTGGACTGCACCAAACCAAACACTCCTAAAAACCCTTCCAACATCCACTAATAGAAGTGACATAATAAAAATTTTTGGGACTGCAGCAATTAAATCTGGATACAGAGAACAAAGGATAAAAAAAACAGATGTTCTACACTGACCAAGAAAAAAAAAACCACCAGCATCCCAGAGCAGGAGCAATAAGTTTCCATCAAAAAGGAGTGATAATTCCAGTGCCTCTATGCACCTACATTGAATGACATTGGTTCCACAGATGAGCTTTAACTTCTCTGTTATGAAAACACTGCTGAGAGCAAGGATTCACGACAATAAAACAAAAAAACAAAAACAAGAGGAAAAAAAAGCCGCTATGTTAGCATCTAGTATCCTTAGCTAGTCTATTCACTCTTCTCTGCAAGTCCTTTCTGATTTCAGACACCATCATTCTTTCACATTTAAATTCCTCTTTGATATTCACATTTTCCTCAAGAAATAAACCAACAAAATACATATATAAAGCTTAATCTCACCATCCAACACCTTCCAGTTACCATTTCATTGGGCAAACTTCAGCATTTAAATATTAAGAAACAAACCCTCCAAAGTCCCTTCTTAAACTCTGAAAATCACCCTGTGTATTTCTGTCTTCTAAAGGTAATCAGTTTTCAATGTAGCAAAATACCATTGCTATACAATACTATAAGTCATTTCCACAAGACAGATGCAATATGTATTTTTACTTTCTTTGATTTAAAGGAGGTCTATCACAAAAGAGCCCCAGCTTCCGGCATTATCACATCCATAACTCTAAGAAATAATATTCTATGGGTATAGTTCCCTAAACTGTATGACCTAAAAAGAGAACATATTCTTTGGGAAAGAGCACTGGGTAAAATTTCAGTCAAATATTAAACAAAAAAAACCCAGAAAACAAAAACATGAAGTATAGCTACACATATTTCTAGAAGTATAAAGCATAACAGAACTAAGTATTTTAAACAAAAAAAATGAGTGCAAAGTTAAATGCTAAGTAAGATACTATTGGGTTCTTTGGTCTCAGTTTTTCTGAGTGATGTTGTTTATTCCTCCTTCTCCTACCCTCAATCTAAGAGTCTCTTTGCATGAGCCTAGCTTAATGTTTTAATAAACTGCCATGATGAACATTTAAGAAAAAAGCCACTATGCCTCTAGTAATTTTTCCCATGTCTTCTCAGACAAATATATCCATATAAAATTTAAAAGCCTTTGCTATTAGAGAATGACGTTGTAGAATTGGAGATAATGGTTTCTGAAAACTCTTAAAGAAAAGCACAAGTTCAGATCCTGCAAGGAATTTCAAGCAGAAAAAGTCACCCGTTGGCACTGGGCTCCATGCAGAATTAGAGGCATTTTTCAATAGGTGTCAAACACTGAGCCGTTTGTGAATAAGTATAAAAGATTATGTTTAAATATCAGTTAAAGAGATTAATCTCTCTCTGGACTCAAATGTCTTTCACATTCCGCTTCTGCTAACAAGCAAAACAAATGCCAAAACAAAGAAACAAAGTGCCAAACTACAAGATAATGTGGTCCTGTCTCTTTGGAGGATTCTATAACATGTATACTGCTTTTCTTGTTTAAACCTAATAATAGCAAAATCAGCGAGTATTTTATACAAAGCACGGGACAATAATTCTTTACATAGACTTAAAAAAAAAAATCAGTTTTCATTTGGGATTTTCTACTGCCTTTGATATCTTTCTGAACACTGAAGTAACATCCAAACCTTACCATTAATATATCTACTACCCGTAGCAAAAACAATAGTATATTACCTTAAAAATACATTTGGCAAAAAGAGACTGAAGTAATTTATGAAATTTGATCTTCACGAAAGAGTCACTTACTCCTCATTAGTTAAATCTGATGACATTTCAGTTGAAAGTAATACAAAACGTAAACTAACAACTGTTCGCTTACCCAAATTCAGATACAGTAGAAAAAAGGAAAAATACCTGCATAAATACACAATAGCACAACTAGTTTGGAATTGTAACAGACCACATGATTTATCTACGTTTGTGGCATATCACCCCTCGCACATTTCACTACTCTCCTCTGCAAAGATGCACAGCTTTTATGAATGTATCCATGCAGCTTGCTTTGTTCATCAGAATTACTCAGGAATATATCTATAAGTGATCTGATCACAAACCTTTTCATTTACTATTGGGTCCTTCTTATTTGAAGAGTTAAACTCTATTTAATAGTTAAAAAAATAGTGAATATTTAGGAACATTAGCAATAGCAAAAATCAGCTGTTACCTGACAAAATATTTTAGATGTTAATATTGTGAATATTTAACCACAAATATAAGCCAGCTTCTTCCCAGAAGGGAATGCGTTACTTCTACCCAAACTTTGTTTTGACAGAACATCAAATCTTTCGAACACCCTAAAATTTATGGTTTGGGTTTTTCTCCATCTCAACCAATCATTTTTAGAGAAAATACAGAAATCAGATGGGCTTCCAAACTCATTGTTTCTCAAAAAAATGTAGTTCTAATTTTTACTGAAAACATTTATATTCTCCAAAAAAATTAAATTTAACCAAAGTATCTTTCTACAATGGGAAAAATTTATATTGAATAATTTTACCTTCAGAGTTATGCGTAGTTTTCTTGTGTTTTCGACATAAAATCCTATAAACAAAGTAGTTGAAAACTGTCAAGTCAGTCACGATTCACAGATTATTTACGCATCTTTTAAATTTAAATGCCAGTACATTTTTCTCCCACTTGTAAGACTCACTGATATACAAATCTTGCAGTGAAAATATGCTTTTCTAGCACATCACTAGTTTGAATGCCACAATCATCATTAGAATTTTTTGCAACAGTTTTGTTTAGATTCCAAAAGTGGGTTTTTTTGTTTTGCTTTGTTGTTGTTTTTTTTTAAACAATCATTTTTCATTTATATGTGAAATATAAATACGAAAATAAACATAGCAGATAAATAATAGTTACATGTAAATGCCTTGTGAGGGTTTCTCTCTTATTTGAGCTTTATCATGCAAAGCACAGTAGTAGTGATATGTCTTATGACATGTTTTCACATCACAGCCAATGGTCGCTCCAGGACAATGGCATAAAGAGCACATCTGTAAAGAAAAAGAAAGCACAATTCATGTTACTGTTGGCTTAGTATTTCTGAGTTTAAAAATAATATAGTTACCACTCCTGGTGACAAAAATAAATGGAGTTATGCACTTGGCATTACTCTTCCTGCTCTCAGGTATTTTTCATAATTTATTTTAAAATCAAGGAGAAATTTGTGGCAATTATGCAACAATACAATAATCATCATACATTGATTAGCAATTCAATGAAAAAAATAAGTAATCTACTTTTGTGGAATATCATGTGTTTGATGAAAGTGACACAGCTATTCACCTAAATATCTCACTCCCGAGGATAGTCTGTTTGTGACAACCATTTCAGAAAAGTTAAAATCATAAATTGTACCTGTTTAATTCTGAATTACATTATGAAGGTGGGAGAAAAAGAAAGAGACACCCATATGGCAATGAATCTTGCAAAGTCAGAAATACTGATGATCTGCAAATTTACCTTAGCCTCAGCAGCTAACTTTACTTCTTTTTTCTATACAGTTATTTCCAAAACACTGAATTTAGTAAAAAAATTCATTAAATACAATTAATTTATTTCAATTATACTAAATTTTGCTCTTTAAACTTATATTGCAGAAAAGGTTAAATGGGAGCCTGTTGCTTTACTCTTCTTTCCCAATAATTAATTCTTCTCGCATTAGACTCATCATTGCTTAGGATACACCAACTATCATGCTTCTAAATTGTTCGTTACCCTTCTCATACTGTGTTAGGAAAGGAAGTAATTGATATTATAACAATATTTTTCTCTATGTTATTTTCTACCGACATAATATCGCCCAAAAATCTCAGAATTTCCCATTAAACTCCCCTCACAAGACAACCGAAGCTTTTTGTTTGAATCCTGCACGTTGCCCACACTCCAAAAAGATTAATTCCAAATCCATAAGCATAAGTGTGCAATGTAGCATACTCCTTACACATATCTTTGTGGAATACACTTTCTGCCCACCGCACTAGCTCAGTCAAGTTCTTGTTAGTCTCAAATATACCAAATAAACATACCACCAAAGTTATGTATCACCATCCTGTTTTTCAATTTTAACAAAGTTAACTGAACAGTAAAAATGTCAAAGCCTTGGATCATCTCCATTTACTCCTCTGCAAGCTCCGAAATGGTATAGTTACATACCGTTCCCTAGTTGTTATCTAATTTGTATGGCTATTTTATCTCACAAATTTGTTATACGTTGTGGTTTAATATATAATAATGGCTGATCAAAGCTCTTTATAAAAGCCTAGGCTGAAATTACATCCATCCAATCAATTTTAGTCAGTACTTCGCTATTTTTAAAGCCAGAAATGACTAAAAGAAAACTTTCTTTTTACGAACACCATGATGTATCTGTATGAACAAGACAGACCACAGGAATTTTTTATACTGACTTATTGGTCTATGTCTCCTGACAGTAATAAAATATTTATTCCATTGGTACAAGTCCTGCTGTCCGAATGGTCACTGCCAACAGACTAATTAATTCCCAAGTTATATCAGGTATACATGAAGTTTGACAAGCTGCAAAACAGGTAAGCTCTTTAAAAAAAATCCTCCCATGCACAGCTAACAAATAATAATGATATCGGTGCCTTGCACTCCCAAATGTTTAGACTTCACAAGTTTTTAAGACTGGCCTATTAAGGTTTGAATCTACAAGCTTTTCTCAGACTGAAATGTATTACCATCAGAAAGGCTCTACATATCAGTCATTATCACTTCAGGAATGAACGGGCCTCAATTTTCAGTGCATACCTGGTCAGCAGCAGCACCTCCTGAAGGAGAGCAACTACGTAAAATCTGTCAGCAGACAAATTTAGTCCAAGCTATCAATTACTTAACCCAGTGCACCACGCTGAGATATTTTTGTGCAATGTGTTCCCACATAAAAGAACAGGCTAGAACAGAAAGCAGACCTTAGAGCGGGTATTTGGGCTAACTATAAACATTTAGCTTTAAGCTTCCTACACAACTCAATGGAGGAAGCAGATTCCTCCAGAGAACGATTCAGAGTTGTAGTTTTCTAACAGCTACAGACAGAGATAAGGCACCTCAGTTAAGACCTAAAATTATCTTGTAAATTCTCTCCAAATAGGAAACATCTCAGGACTATGAATCCACTAGGTTAACCAGATCCAGGTTTTCTGCAAAAAGCTGAACAAAGTGCCTGATACATACACCTAGTGAGCTCCAAGAATATATCCAGCTGCTGCATCAGTGAAGGAACATAAAGACGTTCAGAAGCAGAGACAGAAACCGCCAATGACATAAAAAGAAATAACCTTCAAAAAACATTTAAGAGACCCAAGAGTCAAAAAGTTTCTTTACGCTCTGTAGTTCCCATTTACTACCACGTTATCTGGAAATTCCTAATCGCAACATGAATAACTTGTAAATACTTATTTCTTTACGCTTCAGCTAATTAGAGCAAATAAAGTTTCCTACGCTGGAAAATATTCAAACAAAACACTGGATGAAATATTAGACTACTATTATTATATAACTGTAGTTCTACAATAATACTTTGGACTACTCTTAGTAGTCCAAGAACTGGTAAACATGTAAAAGTGATTTAAATAACTAAGCTGAAAATTTTTAATGTGAGGAGTGAATGGATCCTTTGTTAAAAATATTTTTAAAAAGCCTCACTCATTTCCCCAAATGGAAAACAACTAGTTCTAAATAAATAAAAAACCAACAAACAAAAAACCCCATGAATTAGCTTCTTGGGAATTAAAAAAGTCATTGCTGCTCAGTTCTCATGAATTTGGTAGAGCTGTAATCACTATTGTACCCACATACCTCATAAGACGTCTGTATTCACAGAATCATCTATTAAATCACTATAAAAGGAAGCAATAAAAGTACCTTTGATAGTTAAAACCAGATTTTGGCAGCAAAACCAAATACTGGCAAAGGCACAATAATACCCTCTCCAGGTTCCTAGAATGTGGGTTTCTTTCTGAAATCTAACAGAAAGTATTAAATAGAAATCACTGGATTAGAAACATAAATTTAGGAAATGCTATTGTTTATATGCAGGCCACCAAAAAGAAAAACGGGCATATTCTGTAAATGAGTTTTCAAATTTCCTTGGAAAAAATGCATATCTGCTACAATCATCTACATTTGCCAATGAGGAAAAAAGTGACTGTAAAAATAATAATTCTGGATTTATTTTTCAGAAATTCCATGATTAAGCTACAACTCAAAACAAAGTGTTTACATGAGAGCAGAACTTGACTGAAATAAACAAACTACTTTATATCCTTTCCTAAAGACACTTCAAGGGTTGGTTAACTGACTTTTAAATTTCATTTCAATATAAGCATAATCATATCTACTGAGGTTTTCTTTTCGTAAATCTGAGACCAATTTCACTTCAACATCTTCTTCGATAAGTTGTCCATTACCTTAGAGCTCACACAAAGGTAGCACTTAAAAAAAAAAAAACCAACCAACCACAACATACATATATAAAATCCACTGAACAATTTAATGGTAAACTTTATAGAAGGTAAGAAAATATTGTCTTCCATTTTCAAGAGCCAAAAATAAGAGACTTACCAGTTTAGTGCCTCTCTTTATTTCTTTCTGAATATCTTCAATAGAGAATCCACCAAGACTCTCATTATCAGTGTGTGAAGATACCAGTGCGGATGAGAACAGCTAAAATTATAAAAACAAAGCTTATTTTTTAAGTTTTAAGGGTATAAGTGATATAGAACATTTATATAAATGAAACCCACAAAAATTTCAAATTATGGTGATTAATCATTTGTGCCAATGCCACAGCTGGTTGAATTTTTCATTTGTTTGTAGTCTTTTACTAGCTCCCTACATCCCTTTCCTTTTTCCTATGGGTTACTTACCATACATTTGTGATGTGCTGCCACCTTCTGGTTTTCTGACATCAATAATTGTCCACATTCATTATCTTTATTAGATCTACAAAAACCACACTTCCTTTGTCTTGAAGAGACTTTTTTCTGTCCAACTGAGCTTGTCATGATTTTAAATGACCTTAGAATGCCACCTCAATCCTCTCAACACTACAGAAAAAAAAGGTGCAATCAGCATGTTAACATCAACAAAAGGCAATTTAACTTACAGTTTTATAAATACAATATTGGTTGCTTGAAAATGATCTGTCCCTTTTTACCCTTTTCTTTATACTACTACAATAAATCCAAATAAACATGCACCCAACAGAGGCAGTATTTTGCCAACTTTTTATGAAATTGTATCAGCAAGCAGAATTCTTTAGGCAAAATAGTGCGAACATTAAAATAAAACTTTGGATACTAATATAAAACTTATAAGGAAAAGAAGAAACAGATGGGAAATACAACAAGTACAGGAATCATTAGAGGAAAAAGTTACTGCAACTCTTTCATCCCATTCTTATAGTTATTTATGACAGCAAAGGAATTTGTAGAAAATGCACTACCTGTACATGCAATAAAATTCATGCTACTGAACGTCTTCAAAAACAGAAGCAAAGAAAAACCCAAGAGCCCAGCATAGCATCCAGAACAGGTTTTGAGTGTAGAAGCTCACAAAGTAGCAGGGCAGATGAGTAACTACCCTTAGATGAGGGTAGAGATGAGAAGATAAAACGTTACCATTTTAGGTATTTCACAGATACACTGTGGCTAGTCAAACAGCATTAGGAACAAAATTTTAGAATGATCTATGACTAACAGGCTGAAATGGAAACCTTTTCAAGACCCACAGTTAATTTAGAAGCACCGTACTAGTTTTCAGTAACTGCAGGAGAGCTGCTATTCTCATCTAAGGAAAGTAACTTAAAATTAAACTCAACATGAATCACAAACTTTTCACGTGTTACCAGCAATACATTTTAAAATACAACACTGCGGTCCCAATCCCCTGATCAGGCAGACACTGCAAGATTAAAAGTGAAAATGCCTAACAAGCGTACGTGCTTCTTGGCCCAGTATTAAGTAGTTTGTCTTCATTTGTTTCTACATCTCTCAAGAAAGAAAATATCGTCCTTTTCAAATAGACTTGCTTATAGCTTTTTACTTTGGAGATTCGAGCCTTACTGTCAGAATTGGCCACAACTGCAATAAAAGCATCCTCCTCAGCCTTTGTCTACATTAGACTCATCTGAACAAGAAAAGCCACCGTATAGTTTGATATTTCTGTTGGAAAAAAATATAAAATCCAGCCACAAGAATAGCAGAGTTGCAGTACATCTGGACTGTGCGACAACGGCGATCTGCACGAAAATGCACGGCTGTTTTTTGACATTTGCATAGGCAAACCTGCCTGCTTCTCGGTGCTGTCAGAATCTCACAATACTAGTATCACTCACTATTTTTCTAACCAAAAGCAGAGGAATGTCATTAAGTTTCTGTTGGCATATACTACTACTAAAAGACAATCCTTTTAGAGTCTCACTCTTCGTTTCAACAGATTTTCACAGACTGAGTTTTAACTGACTGTCTTGCAATGTTTACTACAAAACTCCTGCATCAAGCGGTGTCTGTCCTGTATCTATTGCCTTTGCTTTATCAACAGCTTCATTTGCTTTCTTTTATAACTGGAAAGCAGTTTACTAGCCGGTGACGCATACTCATAAGAAGAATGCATAGATTTCAGATCTTGCTGATTTGCACAAAAAATGTGCCAATCTGGATAAACTAGTCACACCCTTTTGCAGTGGCAATAGAGAGTTCTTAAGTGTTAAACACAAAAGAATTACTATACTGTATTCTTCTAAAGAAAAAACAAAACAAGACCATTCTGTAATCCCTTCTGAGTAGAAAGAAGGAATGGTTTCTGAAGGAAAGATGGACAGATTTTCAGATGGGGGGGGGGGTTAAATTTTTTTAAACTTAAGAAAAATAATAATATTTGGAAGCAGGAAAAGACCTACAAAAGACAAGTAGGAAACAGTATCACAAAGATTTCTTGTTCTCAGGTCCCATTCAATAGCTCAACATAAATCACACAGCGATGGGTTAGAAATATATCAACAAAATAATTTAAAATGCAAGAAGTTCTGCTTTGGTATAAATAACTTGATATACACACACACATTCATTTGGGTCTACCTGTTTCATTTTATATTCAGATTGTATTATCGCTATATTGACAGCAATGATAGTAGTTCTTAAAAGGAGGATCACGGATTCCCTTGAACACATGCGCAGGCTCTTCTGACTTACAGGAATAAGAATTACTATTATAAAAAATAGCTATCCTTCACTTTAACAAGCAAATTCATATTTTAGAAAATGCAAATAATTTAGAGAACACATAAAAATTTATTAAGTGGCTCTCATCATCTTTATAAGAATAGTAACTTTCCAAGAAACAAGACTATAAAGAATCTTCTCACAGCTTTATGCCTTCCAGTGCACTAACAGACACGAGAAGGCATGTCATTACAGCAATACTAGAACCTGACATAACCTAACTTCTTGAAGTACTTTCACATAATCAGGTTTTTTAAGGCTCACAGTGAAGTTAAAAATAATGTCAATATTTACTTGATAATGCACAGATGTTGATGTTATAAAAAAAAAAACCCAACCCCTAAACTAGCAAATACTATGTTTTGGAATACTCACTCAATTATAAATAATTCAACATTTGAAAAATTATTTGAAAAGCAAACAGACCAAAAAGCATCAGGGTATGCCAGAAAGGAAACTCACATTCTTTTCACCATCAGATTAAATTACTCTGAAAGCATTTTACAAGGATATCTAAAAGTTTTCTTTCCAATCCTGCATTCTTTGCATTTGTGTTTTCTGTATCACTAGGCATTAACACTATTTATACATTTCTAAAGACGGCATAAAAAAAACTGAGCATGAGAAATATTTCAGAAGCATTTCATCTATAGACCTCTCCCTAAATTATGTTTGCTTTCTCATAAATGTGAGAAAACACTACCCTGGGACCACTTTTCTTTGTGCCAAAATGCATTTCTTATCCTGTCCATTTAAAAATACCCGTTTTCTGAAAAAGATGAACCAGGTTACACAGCTACACCACAGACCCAGAATTCTGAACGCAAACACTCAAGATTCTGTTTTCATCTCTCGAGTTAAATCGCCCAAAAGCAACTAATCCAGTTTGCCAAGTATCAAGCTACATTTCATTGGAACAAGAAAAATCATGCAACTTAAAAACAGCTAAATATTTCTGTTTTCCATGTTTAAAAAGCTAACAAATGAGTAAGAGTTATAGAATAGTGTTTAAATACACTGTTGACAGAATCTTGCTTGTCAGCTTTGTCAGAGAAAGTCTTATAGATTGGATCACAGAAAGCGACGTGCTATGGAATCACTCACTAGGAGATTATGCGCTCTCTCTACCAAAATGGAACACGTACTACAAAACACAGATTATTACATATAGATACGTTTTCCACAGGCTTGGTCTAAAAAATGAAAAGTTACATCTACCCCAAAATCACAAAAGAAGAAACTCATTCAGTGATTCTTCACTCAAAAATTGTGGTTCATTTGCATTCATGTTTCTTAATGTCCACTAAGGTATTCAATATGGTGCTCCCCCTAACAGCACCTTTATTTTATCTTTAAAGCAGCACGTTTTACAAACTCGTATGGCTTGCATACTGCTTTACTGAGTTCTTCTAGACAACAGATTTTCAAACGTAACAGAAAAGTGCAAGTTCAACGACTCTCAGGCAAAGAAGGACGCTCTCAGTGTCTGAGACATTGTTCAGCACTGAAGAACGGAAAGTAACCTGGATTCTAATTTCTATTTATTGCCTGAATATGTTTCAAGAGCTACTGCCTGTTTATAGGAGTTAAGGCCCCACTTGTATTTCCAACAAAGGACAGTGATCTATATGCTCTACCTTCTCGTGTAAAGTTTGTTTTGCTGTGTGGCCTGTATGATTACAAAATTATACAAAAAAAATTCACGAAAATTTCAGACACCCGAGGAAAACCTACAGGAGAAGTACACAAGCTTTGTAAAATTTAATTAAGCATGCTGAAGTGGTTTGGACTCTCAGGAGAAGCTACAGAAAATATTTGCGTCGAATTTTTCAAGATGCTCACTAGATATACCAGATTCTTTGTTCAAGAAACTTTCAAGTGCTTTCTACTTTCTAGGGTCAATCACCCATTATTGGGGGCATTTGGAGAAGGGGGAGCGAAGCTGGGAGGATGGAAGGTATCCCGTAGGTATCTGCAGTTGAGAACCCAAAGTCACAAGTCCCCTGGAAATCTTTATCCCAGAGTTACGTTCACACAGCATCCTACAGCCACTATAAAAAGTGGAATAGGAACTTATCCATGCAACTTCCCTTTCAAAAAAGAAACCAAAGGGGCAAGGCGGGGGGCAGGCCCAACCCAGGAAAGCCCAAACAATAAGAATTGAGCAGGTAACTAAAAATTACACAGAAAGAGCCTGCGGTAAGGAAGATCTGGCAGACAGCGCAGACCGATCTTCAGGAAAGTTTACATACTCCCACGGGAGCGGGAGATGATCCGATAACGGCACCTCCGCCGCTCGCCTCCCCAGGGGGGATCGATGAGGCACGGCACGGCACCGCTTTGGGGAGGGAATGCCGCGATTTCCCCCGCAGGGCCCGGCCACAAGCACCGGCAGGGCCTGACCCCTCCCCG